GCCTTGAGACTTTTTTCCTGGGTTGCTATTGAACTGTCGACGTTCGCCGGCTGTTTTTGAATGCTCGGGTTTCCTTGCCCACTGGATTCGCTTTTTTCTCCGTAGCCATGTGCTTGAGTTTGCTGTAGTCTTGGCGTACCAAATTGGTTTCGCTGTTGATATTGGCGTCTTCTTTCGACGTCCGCCGTTCTTCTACTTTCAAACTGGATTGCTAGCTCAAATAATTTTTCCAGTGTAGTCGGATTTCTCAATTCAATAAGTCTTGCACTTGGGGTAGTAAACCTCGGCAAAATCACTTGAATTATTTCAGGATCCGGACGGTTTTCCATACAAGTGCTTGAAAAACGTGAATTTTTCTTAAAATAAGCTCGACAGGTTTTTCGATTCTTTGTTGATATATGCTAAAAAGTTCCGTTTCTAATTTCGCACGATCCCTTACAACAGGGAAGGCTTTTAGTAGGGCAGTCTTGAAATTTTCATAAGTATAGGTGGGACTTCCTGCTTGACCCAAGAGACTTCTGCCGATACATTTGAACCGTTTAGCGCTTGGCCCCTCAAAGCGCTGGTAGCTAAGGTAACTTTTTGAAACTCGTGCACGGGGTAGAGCATGAAGTGGTCATCCAATTTTTCCAGAAAAAAAATGGTCACCGGTGAGTTTCCGTCAAATGCTTGCTGCTGGTTTCATCGAAGTGCGCATGGTCTGGACTATGTAACCCAAATCCTTCCAGGGCCGGCAGCTGGCATTTCTGGATTCTGAGCCGCTTTCTGCAGGCATCTCAGCTTCTTCTTGAAACTCGGCCATGGTTATTTTTCTTCGTTGGGCGCCACTATCAGGTTCAATGTTTCTTCTAACCTTCTTCGGAAACATACAATGACCTGACTAGGAACAGAGAGCTTACTAAAGCTATGTTTACTAATTGTAGTAAGTAGACAGGATACAGACGAAGGGTATACAAAACCCTTTATTTTTCTTTATATACAATGACTTCCGTACTTCAGAATACAATGACCCTCCACTCGGGGTCTAACGTAAAAGGTATAAAAAATAAAATTAAACTCTAATTTAACTTTAGAATAACACACGTGGAAGATTGGCCTTATAATAACAGGAAGCGTATGTAGCACAGAGACTGTGAACACTACAATACGTTTAATTTATTAAGAGGATTAAAACCTCTGGCCTGGAAGGCAAATAGCAACTGCATAACTTCTAAGGTAAGCGGCCTGCTTCGAACTCACTGCTTCCTCTCTTTCGCTTGGCAAAAAGGCCACACTTAAATACTTGGCGTTCGCCAGACAAACTTTGCATAAAATCCTTAATGCTTATAATTCTGGCCGGAAGTAGAAAATAAGAAGTGATAGTAAAGGTTTAAAATAAAATAAACGTTAGTAAAACTTAAGATCCTTACAGTGCTTTACACTGGTATCACTTCAGCTCACAACTAAACCAGCAAAAGAAGATCACTGCAAAATAAACAACAAACTGCAATACTCTATGCAGTGTACTACATTATACAGATAAAAATTTTATCTTTGTTAAATTTCTTTTGTTAAATACGATATCATGTGAAGGTTGCATATTACTGTACGATCTAGGGATTTTTAAACATGCACACAGATATTACAGTATAAGTGATTCGCATATTAATGGATTTGTACACTTTAAACACAGAACCTCCAGTGGTCCATTGCATTTGATTACTTTCTGCATTAAATAATTTTGAAAGTTTAAAAGTAATTGCTTAACACAAAAAGGAAAAACATCGAACATACCATTTCCCAATCGGACACATCCATGGCACTTCCTAGCTGCAGGATACTCTGCAAAATACATATATTTTAAAGCTTGTATATGAATTTTCTCAAAAATTCTGAAAACAAAAAATTCTTTAATATATTATTAATTACCTTCTGAGGTAGGACAAGATCGCCATGTATAATTATCTAAGTTAAAAGCAGGCACCTGAAAAGAAAAAAAAAAAAAAATTCTTCAAATAAGGATTAACTCCAATATGCAGAAAGAAAGGAGAAATATCTTACATACTTCTTTAAAGCCAAAGCACTCAAAACCTGTTCCTCCACCAAATACAAGTATCTGATTTCCTTCAATCACAATTTCATGACGATACCTTAAAGCAAAAACAGATAACCATCACTGAAACAGATTAATATCAAATAAGTTAACTCACCTTAAATCAGAATAACAAAAGATTTAGATGTATTTCAAATCACACGATTTACATACAATCATAGGTCAATTAGATATAAATTATATCAAAAATTAATTTAAATTTGATCAGTTAGATACACAGACATTCATAATTTTACAAAATATTTTTAAACTGATAATTATATAAATTATTAAACTAATACTATATTTTTAATTGAAATAGAGGTGCACAATTTTAATACATATTTCACAAACTTTCAATGAACTCATCTTTTTCGTGCAATTGGGAGAGGAAACATTTACAGCAAACCCTTGCCGAACACGGAATTGTGGAATGGGATTTTGCATATATGCGTTACCTTGATGGTCTCCATTAACTTGTTCAACATGAAAATTTCAATTACACATGGTAAGCTGAAGAACACTGGTCATAAGTTAAATGAATTGTGAAAAATAAATGCAACTATCTGATTTTGTAATGGAGAGACTCAAATGAAGAAAGAGAATACGAGAGGTACTGAAAAACCTCCCCACACCTTACATCGAAATGTATAATGGGATGTGTCAGACATTGGCCCAACTTATTACGTAGTAACATAACATTTGTATGTTTCATTTTCCCAGTCTTAATTGAAAATAATATTCAGATTTCTATAAATTATACATACTTTTTTAATCTGAACTAACCAGTTTTTTCTACAGAAATTTTTTTATAATTTTCCCATTGCTTCGTTAGCCCTTTTTAATGTCTCTACTAAGAAACAGCCATTTCATATTTATGTGATTTAATATTTATCTTATTTCTTTCCCATGAACCTTCAGAAAGGTTTTTCAACTCTCCTTCTTGTTTAGCACATTTTTAAAGTAACAAAACACTAATGGCCTATGTTTACTGATAATGTGGCAGCTGCTTTTCCTGCTGAAAATTTATTAAGTGACACATACAACTGACATGATTAATTCAATACACGATTAATTCCTTTTGGGGCTTTTTCAGAAAGGCTGCCACACCTTTTTTTTTATGTTTAGTCATGATAGGTGTATTATATGCACAGAAACACAGTTTTATGTAGATATTTAATTTACTCAAGTCATTAATAATAATCATTGAAATATTCTGACCAGGAGTCAACAATTCAATAAGAAGCACATAAAACAGTACATTTTATTTCATCATCTGTCTCACTAAAATAAGTTCCAGCAATAGGATATAACTTACAAAAACTTCCATTGCTTCTACCAACAGATAAGGACAGGACAGGTTTCTGCAAAATATTTATTAGACTTTTTTCATGAGCGTTTTCCATTTTATTAAGAATGGCATAAGATTTTGGTTTGGTACATGATTATTTCTTTGCAGTCCCTGTATCAAGACACATCTTCTAAACAAAGGACCGACATGATCTGCAGCATTCAAAGCAATATTTTATTTGACCAGAAACTGTAAATATGCAGCCTGAATAATGCTTAGCTATGAAAGCTATAACAGATTACTACATCATATCATCAGCAGAGAATCCAAAGATGCATCAGCCAGATTTGTTGAAAATTAAAGAATTTATCCATAGTAGTAAATGGATATAAACTAAAGATGTTTTCGATTGTGATGAAACCAGTCTTGTCTTACTTGCCATACCTTCAAAATGCCCAACTTCTAAAAATATTCAAAGACATGGTCGAAATCGTTTCTCTATTTTACTTTGACCAAATACTGATCAAATAGAAGATGATACCACCTCATGAGAATGTCACAAAAACTCAGCTCTTTCAAAAGTATTTGAAATATACAGTGAACTAACTTTTACATACCACACTATGAACCAGGAATAAAAGCAGAGCCAGATTTAGACTTGATACGGCCCTAAGGTATTTGAGATATGCAGCCTTATAATATATTTTAACACTATTTATACCATATTTTAATTTGGTGCGGGGCTTAAAGCTACAGCTTGTACAGCTTATACGTAAATCCGGCTTGAATAGAAGACACAATTAATTCATCAAATTAACATTAGAATGCACCCATAAAGACTATGAAACAAAAAAACTGCCTTAAAAAAATTTCTGTCTTTGATTTTCAGTTTGTTCCATTTTTGGAACATTGGCATGTGTCTTTTCTCTCTCTCTTTTTTTTTTTTTTTTCCTTCCCTTCATGAAAATAAAGGATTATATGATAAATCTTTTAAATTTTTTTAATGTAATAATGGTTTATTGAACAATTTGTTTTGAAATTACTAAAATTTAAGCAAACCTCATTAAAAAAGTTACAGTGTTTTTAATTACCGCAATATTTTATAATAAATGCAATGCAAAAAGTATAAAGAAACAATAAAAACAAATTTACACTTACACAAGCTTGATTAACAATATACATAATACAAATAAATGCGATTTTTGAAATATAAAATACCTTACAAATAAGAAATATATTTTTTTATCCTTTAGAAAGTGTGTGGAATTTCAACCAGTAGTTCAAAAAATATAAAACATTCTAAAACACTAATGTTTTGTAAGCCTTCTCAGCAGTTTCTCAGTGTCCATGACATTGTGGGAAGCAGTGTACATGGAGCCCCCCTCTTTTTTTCATTCAAAACACATGTCTGCAGTGTTTTTTTGACACACTACACAACACTCTTGTGATAATAAACTATATAATGTGCATCTGATTTTCCTACAGATGTCGACTGATGGGCACAGGGTCCAGGTATAACGTGAATTTAGGTTTCGCCTAAACCAAATTGAAAGTAATTTCTGTTCTAAAATTCACATGAGTAATTTCTAATGTAGTCTTTTTGTGTAAATTAATGTGTAAGATCCACCCAGCAACCACAACTATATTCAGTGCATTGATAAAGTTCCAGTACCACTTTTTTCCTGTGAAAGTTTGACCGTTAACTTCCAAGAAGCCGGTCCAAGAGGTCTACTCCACCCATTCTTTCATTATATAATTTTACAATGTAAAGTTGGAGAACATCAACTTTTTTTTTTTTTTTTTTTGGCTTAAACCTACCTTTTTGCTCTTCCTAATCATTCCTGAGTGATATCATTTGATACAACAGTTACAATAGAACTATTGTTCCAATGGCACATAGAAACCTCTCCATCGCATTGGTAATCAAGTTCTCCAAATCAAAATGTCAACATTTCTTTTACTGTTTTAAAAGGACATTGTTCCATTCCTTTGGTAGATAAATCAGTCAGCAGACTGTGATGTGAAAAAGTTATTGAAAAATACTTTGTGCTTCTCTGGATTGTCAATAAAAGATAATAGTACGGAGACAACTTTTGATAAAAATGACAAATTTTCATTTTCTGGCTTTTTCCACCAAAGACAGACATAGCATAAGGATAACCATTTGCTGAGCAGAGCATCCAAACTTTGAAACCAAATCAAATTGATTTTCCACATATGAACATCTTAGCAGAATAATGTCCATAATATGTAAACATGGATTCATCAATACTCAGATTTTCATAGAAAAATCCAAATTGACAAAATTTTTTCCAATCTCTTTATAAAAGGGAGAGATTTTCCTTAATTTATCACCTGGTTCCAATTTTCTATTATCAAAAATATGATACTTTTTTAACATCTGAAATTTATTTCTGGGCATTGTAGCGCTGACAGTTGGGATATGCAAATCTTTCTGAGCACTCAAATGAGCAAACAATATGAATTTTGCTGAAATTTTGAACTGAGCTTAAAACAGGATAATGCAGCTGAAACCAATTATCCCCCCCCTTGGTGAGAGAGATGAGACCCCCTCCATTTCTTTTTCCTATCCTTTCTTGAGAAATAAGTGACACATCGTTAATACCTCTCAAAAAGGGCGTGTTTATGAGATATGAGCACTGAATGTATTAAAATCTAATAGAAAAATAAATCTGTGATATCACTGATTTTGTATATTGTTACGTTCCAATGTTCCTTTTTTGAAACACTGCTTTTTTATGCAATCTTGAGGAAATATCTCTTGTTATTAGTTTTTTTATTTATTTTTTTTTAAATTTTTTTATTAACTCATTAAACTTGTCCTTTGCAAGTAAGGTGGGGAAATTTTGGGGTGGATTTGAATTTTATAGAATTTTTTTCTTCCCGTAAAAATTGCAAAAAAAAAAAAAAAAAAAAAAAAAAAAAAAAAAAAAAAGAAGGGGGAGCTGAATTTTAAAAAAAGATATTTCTATGCTGAAATATTCATAGTTGAAAAATAAATTTTATGTCAAAAAATTAATCATACCTTGTATAATAAATGCTTTTTTTCAAACTGACAGATATGATAGTTTATTTTTTAAGAAAACATTAAACATGAAGTTCCAAAAAAGGAACACTGGCATGTAAAAGATTAAAAAGGGACAATGACAGAGCTTATATCTGCAAAGTACCTCAAACCATCAGGGCATTAAGATCTTGAGGCAATAAGGAATCATCAATGCATTAAGAAAAAAATAATTTCTCTTTACATTAAGCTATTTCATTCCTGTGATTTAAAAAACTAAAAAATATGAATTTGGAAATACAAATAATATTTTAACAAATTAAAAGTAGGATGATAAAACAGCATAAAGAAATTTCATAATGATTAAACTGTATAAACCAGCAGAAAATTATGTGTATCACTCTAAATTAAAATATCGATTACATATCTTTTTCATTCATATAATTTTTCTGAACAGCCCATTGAAAGATGTATTTACTGAACTTTACTACACTTTGCCTTTCAATATAGTGCACAGTTTTTATAGGCTTTGTTACAAATACTAGAACATAAACTATTCTTTATCAAATTCTCACCAAATTTCGCATAATTTGGCATCTAGACATAATTTCAGCTGAGTATGGAAAAACGTCAGCATGCAAGTTCAGAAAAAGTGTCAGAAAATGCATGTTAGAATCATGATACATATGCATATATATATATATATAGTATATATATACAAACACACACACATATCTTATTATATAAGCCATGCTTTTGAGACATGAAAAATGTGAGTTAAATTGCGTTGTTGAATGATGAGAAGAGAGCAGCTGAAACCATTACCCCCCCCCCTTGGTGAGAGAGATGAGACCCCCTCCATTTCTTTTCCCTATCCTTTCTTGAGAAATAAGTGACACATCAAAAAAAATTTTTTTTTTTTTTTTTTACAACTCTGGTAAATGGATGCCTAATTTTTTCCTTACATCCTAGTAATATAAAATTACAGCTAGAACATGAGTTTCCCACAGAACTACAATTCAATATCAAAAGTGCAATCAAAAGGTTTGAAGGCGAAAAGCATAATAAAGAATACTCTTAAAATAAACTTACCTTGGCTCTGGCTCAAAATTCATTTCATTTATTACATTTTTTTCAAGAAGCTTCCACTCTTTTGTATTAAGATCTAAGCAATGTACACTCATAGAGTAATCATATCCAGTGGTTCCTCCAACTACATACATTTTATTCTGATGTACTGCCATAGCCTTCATAAAACAAATTATACATTAAAATAATGTTTTGAATGAAGCTGATGTAAACACAAAAAGAGAATAACATATTTTAATACATAATTTTAATATTTATACATAAAAATTCCCCTTTGTCCTATTAATCCAAACAAAAATTGTTGTCCTACAATTTATGGATCCTTTACTGTGTGTATGAGTCTCTGAACAACAAAACGGCAGCAGAGCGTGGTTTTACCAAGAAGTATCGGATGTAAATACAAATGTAAGTCATGGTCTGAGGAAATTGAAACTGTAAAAGTCAAAAATGGAGAAGTTGAACATTGCTAAGAATATGCAGCAAATAGTTTATCCAACAGATGGTAGTACCTGCCAAGCTCCTTTGGTAATTGTCAATGCGCATGCGCAACCTGAGTGCAGGAAGTATGTTAGAAGAGAATGAGCTTTCATTTAAGCATGTTGCTGCACGCTTTTGCTGTGTAAATAAAAGTATATTTTTGTAACATAGATGTTCTTTACTCTCTAATGCGAAGCACTAGGTTAGTGCATGAATCTCGACTGATTCAAAATCCATTTCCAAACCGTTGATCACCACATTAAAAAGTAGTGTCCGCGACATTAGTCCGCGACTAATTAGAAGAACTAACTAGGGATAATTATTTCATTTGTTTGTTAAAAATTAAAACTGCCTTTTTTTAAAAAACACTTAACTGAGTGATTTCATAACTGAAACCAGAAATTTAAACAAGAAGGATGAAAGGCTATGGAATGAAAAGAATGCTGACACAGTAGCATACATTAAACTTTCACTGTCAGACCTACAGGCATTTCAATTCATTGCAGAAGAGAATGCAAAATTACTTTTGGAGAAAATAAAATCAACACTTACAGGCTAAGCCAAAGAAACAAATGATGGTAATGAGTTAAAAAATTCAGAAATGAAGTTGCATGAGTCAGCTAATGATTATATCACTAAAGCGAAATGAATAGCAACTAAATGCCAACTGCTAGGACTAGAAGTATCTTCTCGGGAATTGGTGTTTTACACAGTTCATAGACTTCATGGAAAATTCTCTCGAATCAAAGAAATTTTAAAAACACAACGTGTAAAAACAGTTAATGAAATACTGGAAACACTCCGTGAAGAAGAGTCAACAAACAGTTTGGTGAATGGCAGACGCGGTGACGGGATCAATGCTGAGGCATTTTGTATATAAGAAAAATTAAAACTGTAATTGAAAAATTAATTAATTTGTCAATGGCCTAGTCACACCGTGAAAGACTGCTGCAACAGAAACAAAAGTACAAAAAGTGAAGTATCCAAAGCTAACAAAGAAAGAAGGAAGTTGTAAGCTACTAGTGTGAGCATTTCATCTCATTTTAATGAAAAGGAAACTGATTTTGCTCTTCAACTTTCAGGTGGAAAAACTGATGAATGTGACAAAATTTGGATGCTTTATACTAGCGCAACTGCCCACATTGCAAAAGACTCTTTTTAGTTTGAGAATATTACATCAGGGATGAGAGAAATTTACCAGGCACATAAACATTCAAATATATTTTCTGAAGATATTGGTACTGTTAAAGCAATTACTATAGGTAAAAAACATTCTGGTTCTGTTAATTTAACTACAGTACAAAGTCCGAAATCCAGACTCTTTGGGGTCTTCAGCGATTCCGGATTTGGGATTTTTCAGGATATTAGATCATCAATTTAAATTTGGTAAGATGGCATGCAGAAATTATACAATTAAAAATATGAAATCATAATTTATGAAATAAAGAACAATTATGATCTAAAGGGTATCAAAATTTACAAAACAAAGCTTAATAAATGTAAGTTGCTTCCATAAAAAATTCAAACAGATCCTTTTTCTTATGTCATATATAGTTGACTTTCCAATGCCATACTCTCCTCGCATAATTTTGAGATGGATTGTAGATTTGTTGGCAGCTCAAGAATTGGAAACTCTTTTTGACATAATCGAAAGTTCAAGCTTAGTTTTTATAAAATAGCCATAATAATAACAGTTTGCAAAAAATAAAACGCTGGATCAAATTAGAAGATTAGGGAGCAGAGCAGTCTGCTACATTAATTGAAATGCTTTAGAATTAGTAAAGATAATTTTAGTCTAGCTTAATAGCATCAGTTATACATTATTGGCTGTGTATCACAAGATTGGCGATGAAAGCCAAGTTGTTTCGATAAATTTTGTCTTGCTCCTATTGCGTACTGAACTATTAGTTTAGTTATTTACTATACCTACATTTATTTCTTGCACATGCTTAAAACTAATCTGAGTCCTGAATAAATAAACTCCCACATATTATTAAGGCTTTATCTAGGGCAGGTGCTAGATACCACCAGGTGCAATCTCTATGGGTCCTAAATTCTGCTACAAAGCGCCTTCCTAAGTTCTAAATTTTCACCACGCCTAAACTTTGAATTTCAGTGCTTTCCCTAAATCATAAAAAAACTTCTCATCCCTTAATTTTGCCGCTCAGTGCTTCCCCAAATTCCAAAAATTTTGTCTTCTCTAAATTCTGCTGTCCGGTGCCGACATATTCTGCCATCGCTTCTGGGTTTATGGTGAATAAAATATCAGTTATTCTTAATTAAAATAGCACCAAATGTAATCTTTTGGCCTATGAGTTTGATAAACAAAATCTATTTTTAGCATACGAAAAGAAATTTTTGTTGAATTTTTCCTTTTCAACTTTTCTTAGAGCATTTAAAAATCTACAACCATCGTCAAGTGGAATGTTAGCATAAAAATATGCCATACTCTTTGTTATTCAATTCCTAATATAAAAAAAGTTTAGACATTGCTGCATGAGTTATTACTGAAGCTGTCATGTATTGATAAACATGCAGTGATGAAAGCAAAATATAATAAATAATGACTCCTCAAGTCGGGGTCAGGGATGTAAAATAAGTGAATGTTTGAGTTTGAGATGTATGTCAAGCAGATACTCAGCTGTGGAGCCAAATTATTAATCTCCTAAATTTATGCTTACATGATTGTTTTCCATAACGAGGTATTTTATTTAATGCATAAGTGAAATTAAGAATCGGATTTTTTAAGTGAAAATCTCTACATGTTTTATTATGGAAAGAAAAAAACAAACGTGCAAGCTAAAGCATACAAAAAAAAAAAAAAAAAAAAAAAAAAGTTTGTGGCTTTGAGGTCCTGATTTTAGATCATTCCGGATAATGGACGTCCGGATTTTGGTCTTTGTATCGTATTAGTAATGTTAGTTCTGTTTCTGGTCTAAGAAATAATTTACAGTCAGTCACTGTCGTAATGGATAAAGGTTGTAAAATTGAATCAAAGAATAACTGTATATTGGTTTTTAGTAGATGTAACCAATTACTTTTTGTAGCATTTAAGAGTAATGGCAGACTTGAAGTTAATTTAGAACCATATTATAATTCTAAATGTTGAATTGCTAATGATTGTACTGTTAGTAATTATAAGCTTTGGCATAGTAGAGTATGTCATTTAAATCCAAAATATATGTTTAAAATGAAAGAATATATTGATATTAATGATGTAAGGGATTTTTAAGTGTGAAACTTGTGACATAAGTAAAATAACCAGAAAAGGTCGTCGAAATATTGACATTAATCAGAGTTCAGAAATTTTAGAATTGATTCATTTGAATCTGTCTGATCCTTTTCAAACTGAATCAAGTGGTCAATTGGCGAGTCTAAATATTTTATGATCCTAGTGGGTGATTTTTCTGGAATGTATTTTACATATTTTCTTAAAAGTAAAAATGAAGTGTTTGATGTATTTATTAAATTTAAAGCTAAGTATGAAAATTTAACTGGTAAGAGAATTAAACGTTTGAGAATAGACAGTGGTTTAGAATTTGTAAATGAATGATTAGATAATTCGTTTGTCAATTCTGGTATTTTTCATGAAAAAACTGTTTCACATATTAGTGAGAGTGATGGGAGAGCTGAATGTGTAGAGTTCTTTTGGAAAGGGTTTGAACACTACTATATGAAAGCGAACTTCTGGTGAAATTCTGGGTGGAAGCAATTAATTTTAGCTCTTATGTATCAAATTTAACATCCCGGAAAGGAAAAGAAAAAATTCCTATGGAAATGTGGACTGGTAAAAAACCCAAATTACACTTATCTAAAAAAATTTGGGTGTGTGTCATACTTTCACATTCCAAAAGTAATGCTAAACTAATTTAATGTACCCAGGAAAGGGGGCGATAATGTTAGGATATGCTAGAGAAAGGAAAGACTATCATTTTTATGATATAGTAAGTAAAAAAGTAACAGAAGAACAATCGGTTAAATTTAACGAATCTTGAACAGGCAGTAAATCTTTGGGAAAAATTCATAGGAATTTGGGATATTGAAGAATCAAAAGGAATTTCGTGGGAGGAAAATGCAGGAGATCAAAAAACAAGAAATGAAAACCACACCTTGAATTTGTTGACACGAAAAAATACTCAAGCAAGCAAATATACTGACTCATCGAATTTCGAATGCACGCTCTGCTACCATTTTGTTGTTCAGAGGCTCATACACACAGTAAAGGATCCATAAATTGAGGGACAACACACTTTATTTGGACATAAAAAACAGATAAATAGAGCACACAGCAAATTACATAATACATCACACAGCAACACTGCTGCCTATACAATGAGCACACTCGCATGAAGGATGTGTCGGCAGAAGTGACTGCTGTGCTGCCTATAATGAGTATGTGCAGGTATAGGAAAAAAGTTCACTTACCTCTATCCAACAAAAACTAATAATTTTAAATATTAAAGCTAAATTACCCAATATCCCACATCATTATTTTTAATAATGTTGCAAGGTAGCCAGCTGTAAAACACAGATGGAACACAAAACACTGAAAACAGAGCTGTTATACTGAAATCAATAACTATTTGGATATCTCATTTCCAACATACTTGTCAGAAAATCACTTCATTTAATTTCTTTTAAATGGTGTTAGGATGGAATAAAATGAAGCAATGATGTCAAAAAAGTTTTCCACTGCAAACTATCTTTATCTTTTAAACTCTGTTTAGTAGCATTTAAATTCCATGTGTCTTCTTGCTAAGTGATATACAGATGATCAATATGTAATTGAGAGCATAACATATGGTATTTTAAATATTTTATTAATTATACTAATGATACAAATACTTATAAAATTATCAGTTAGAATATACAGTACAAATGCCGAAATTCAGATGTCTGGATAACTAGAAATATATATATATATATATGTCATGATTTTAAAAATTTGTAGATGAAGGCATTGGAACTTTCGATATTGCGTAGATGATTGAGAAGACCGTAGTGGTTGAAGTAGGGCTGAGTGGAAAAGCATGATGACACATTTAGCCCAACTAAGCTTGAAGAATCACGATCTTTATTTTTTATGCATATCAAATCATTCTTTTGCAGACAAGATATTTCTTAATTATAGTTGAATACAATAAGTTCCATTTTAAAGTATGACATTATCTTAGGTAAATAGGCAGCAGCATGGAAATGCAGCCTCTTGCAGGCAAGGAACTATAAGCAAAAAAGAGCACTGCAACACAGAGGAAGAAGAGAGGGAGTCAATAGTTTCAGTTCGAGTTGGAAAGTTTTGGTTTACAATTAATTTGATTAGACAAGATCTCGAATCCAGAAGAACAGATGAATTTAGGGGTAGAATGCTAATTTTGAGGTCGGTAATTATTTTTTTTTTTTAAACAGCTATCGTATTTTGTTATATCTTATATATGCAGGACAAATGACAAAATTCGGATGCCCAGATAACTAGAAATATATATATATATTTAGAGAAATTTTTCCTTAACAATGTCTAGAACTGAGCAATATCTTGATTAAAAATAGGTTGGCAAGGCCTGTAACTGAATAAAACGCTGAATAAATATTAATTTACATGTGAAACAACAAAAATCAGTGCTGGGCAAAAAGTATCCTTTGACAAAAAGTTAATTAAATAAAGTCATTTATTTAATTAGACATTTATTTCATTACTAATTAAATAAATTCAATATTCAGACTAATTAAATAAAGTCATTCCTTTAATTAGTTGTTTATTTCATTTAAATAATAAAGATAATTGACTTTTAAAATGAAGTCAATTATCTTTATGTTCAAAAAATTTAATTTAGTGCTGATAAAAAAAACTTCTCTATTAAAAAAAGTCATTACTTCCAAAATAAATATAAGCATATTTAAATAGAATTTTAATTTTTCCTAGATGATTTTATTTTTGTAGAAAGGCTCAGTAACATTTTCTTTTTTTTTAACACTGGTTTACTTGTGGCTTTTCTGATTCGCCTTTTTAAAGTATGACTGTTCAACTATTAAAAAATACATATTTTGATACTTTTAAAGTAAAAAATACTTCTGTTATTATACAGCTTACGCCTTTATTACAATATGTTCATTACTAAACACACACACACAGACACACACACACACACACACACAAAAAAAAAAAAAAAAAAAAAACAGATGTATGTACACTGTGCAAAAAAAAGGGGGGGAGACAGTTCTATATCTGCTGTTCTACCGAGCCGATTGACAAAATTCAAATTGTGTTTTTCATGTCTCGAAAGCACGACTTAGGATATACATTAGATTTATATAATAGCATTGTTCTAACATAGGTATTTTGACACAAAATTGGACTTTTTCTGAAATAGCATAAATTTTTTTTACATATTTTGATTCTGCAGCTCAAATTATGCCTAGATATTAAATTTTGTAAAATAAATGTGAAATTTATGGAGAAATTCAAAAATTTGCCTTGGTGCAATTTTTTCAGTTTGCACCAAGAATAATTCACTTGGCAATCTTCTTAATATTATGGCTACCAATTTCCCTTTCCCTTCCATTATGCCAGAGCGGGAAAAAAAATCACCTCGCTCCTAACTTCTTACATCGAGCATGAGCGGAAAAAGTCACATCATTTCTACTTCCAAATAATTTTAGCAAAGTGTCTAAAAGCCCATTTGATGTTTTATCGCTTTCAACAAATATGCCAAATTTCAAAATGCAAAAATATATAAATTCACGTATATCTTCATAAATTTTGAATAAAAATCTGTAATTTTTTGCAGGTATGCTTAGAAATACACCTACTTCAAGATGATGGTAAAAATTTTATAGATTATAATTCAAATTTTTTTTGAAAAATTTATAAAAATTATTTAAAAATACAAATTTAAAAATGGGTGAATTTTATTTGGAATGAACCTGAATTTCGAAATGTGAAACAATCAAATAAGTTTAATAAAAAAAAAGAGAGGTTAATAAATATATACGAAACTCAATTAACATTGAGTAACTAAAATTTTGAGAGCTAATTTTTTTAAAACTATTTGTGCAATTTTTACATAACTTGGTAATTTGGTGTAATTTGAGTTGTAAAATTGAAATATGGAAAAAAAAAATGATATGTTATTTCAGAAGAAGTACGATTTTGTGACAAAATACCTATATTAAAACAATGCTATATATAAATCTAATAGACATCCTAAGTTGCGATTTCAAGACAAGAAAACGCAAGTTGAATTTCATCAATCGGCTCAGTAGTACAGGAAATATACAACTGTCCTCTTTCTCTGAAAAATTCCAATTTGATTAATAAGCTTTTAATATTTTTATACCAAAATATATTATGTAAAACTTATCTGCAAACTAAACTCTTACTTGTCCATATTGTTCCAATGGAGGAGAGCCAGTTGTCTGAAGAGTGGACCATTCTAATGTATCTAAATTACATATATGGGTACTGTTGCTGCTGCTTTCTCCAAATGGCACTCCAGTTCCCCCAAATACTAACATGTAGTTGTTGATTAACACAGCTGTCAAACAAATTTATAATTAATTTACTGGAGTAAAATATTAAATAAAAGCATAGATCAAAGATTTTTTAACATATTTAGATTTTTTTATAACTAAGAAGAGAGAGCCATGTGTATAATAGTATATACATGAAGCAGAAATAGATTAAGTTTTAAAAGAGTTACTCCTGTGGTACTCAATTTAGAAAGGGACAATATGATTAAAACTACATAAAGGTAAAATTAAAAAAAGGGGGGAGCAGTCCTATACCTCCCATTTTAGTTGACATGATCTACAAAATTCAATTTGCCCTTTTTCCTACCTTAAAAGTGTGACTTGGAATGCATATTAGATTTATTAACAGCTTTGCAATCGTAAGAGTGTGGCTTGGAATATGTATTAGCTTTGCACTAACATATGCAGTTAGACAAAAAACTGGACTTTTCTTACAAATGATGAGCCAAATTTTTCTAAAGTTTTATTCTATACCTCAAATCATGTCTAAATTCTACATTTGTTAAAAACTTGCCAGCAGTTTCACAGATATCTGCTTTTAAAGACTGATATTAATTTTCAACTCCACTAAAAATGACCAGTACTTCTGAGAAAATAATTTATGAACATTTTGTATACCTTTTTAAATGAAAATAAAAACTAATGTTGTCAACTGACAAAACTAAATCTTTATAGCTATTTAATATAAATTAAAACACTATTCAAAAAAGAATTTTAACTTTCAAAGTTTTAAAGATAAGAAAAACAAAATATTAACATAACATATTTCAATTGAACAGAATTAGAAGAGAGAGGCTTGCAATCTGTATATTGCAGCAAAATTTATCATTGTCAGTGTACAAAAGAAGCAGTGTAAGAAATTTTGCAGTGTACACAAGAAACATAGTACAAAATTTTCCAATTCATGTACAGATTTTTATACAGGTATTTGTCAGTAACTGCATAAAGCATCAGAAACACATTTTACTTATCACAATTATTACTGCCACTTTAGTTTTTAGCTTAATGATGAGGTACTTGCTTGAAAACAATGGAAATAGCTTAATCCATCTGTCATTTAGTTGTCTCAAAGTATGCATGACAGAAGAAAGACCAATACTGCACCTACAAGGAGAGATGAGAAACACATACAAACAGCCAAGCCTTACAAAGGTGTCAAATGTACACCTTTGATCTGGGGTAAAAGGCAGCTTTGTTGATCACTATGTCATCCAGGTCAACATTACACGTATGGTATAAAATAATACTTGTGACAAAATATTATTCAAAAGTGCAGATTAAATAAGTTTCTACAGTCAAAAGTCGTTAATTCGGACACCCATAATCCGGAATAATCTATAATCTGGACCTCAAAGCTACAAACTTTCTGGCGTTTACGTGTGCGCGTAAGACTTTTACGGCTGCGAATATGCGTGAGCGCGTGCGCATAAAACGTTTCGAAATCCGAAATCTGTTTATCAACTTCACGCTGCTCGGCGGGGGGAACGCCGCGGCGCGCAATGAATTGGAAGTTGATCTGTCAACACTATCCTTATCTTCAGGGCACATGTTTTTATTTTATTTGGCTTATAATTCCTTACTAAATGTAGTATTTCATCTCGATGTACTCCGTGTTTGATATGATTTAAAACAAGATCTTCGTCATTATAATTCGCTTTCGATAGTGAAGAAAGTGACAGAGGTTATTGAAAACGAAAAAATTTCGATTGACAAATTAATCGGTATATTCTCGACACAGCAATCATAGGACTTGAACAGCGGAACTTTGTAACTAAACAAGAAATTATGTCTGTTTAATAGAATTAAAGAGAAAGTATTATCACATGAAACGAAGCAACTTAAACAACTTACATTGAAAGAAATGTTTAATAAAGTAAACAAATAAACATTAAGCTTTTTGTTTTTGTAAATTTTGACACCCTTTAGATCATAAGTGTTCTTTATTTCATAAATTACGGTTTCATATTTTTAATTTTGTAATTTCTGCATGCCATCTTACCAGATTTAAACTGATGATCTATAATCCAGAAAAATCGATAATCCGGAATCGCCGAAGTCCCGACGAGTCCGGATTAACGACTTTTGACTGTATATTACTTTTTTCTTGTGCAGATGACAAATGCACCTTTTATAATACTGAAGATAAAATATTTTATATTCATGTGATATGAATTCTAAGAAATTATGGAGAAGATAGAGCTTGTCTTTATTACTTTCAGTGAAAATATTACCTCCACTTTACTCTTAAAATAAAATTTGTAATCATTTCCATGACTGAGGTTTGTGTTGAGGGCTGGCTGCGTAGGTATTTTCATGTTCTTCCCCATGCATAAAATGAATATGTCAACTTCCTTTTAAAAGTTCTACATACAGGCATTCCTGCCCTTAGACAAGTAGCTTTTACATGTTTTATCATAATCAATTAAGCAATTTGCAAAAGTCTAATTTTATTTACATCCATAGGATCCAATTAAACATTACCATTATTTTATTTATTTATTTTTTTTATTTTAGTAGTAAAAGTTTTCCAATAAAATGAGAAACAATTTTTTATTTGCATCAGGAACTTGCCTAAGGAAATCATTTAATATTGGAAAAAGAATTGTAATAAGTAAAGCACAATAAAAACTAGCATTCAAATAAGCAGAATTATTTAAATTTTAGAGAAACTTTTTTTAATGAAAAATTAAGCAAGCAATCCCTGTAAAGCCATTACAAAACAAGTACAGAACTACTACTCTGAACCCTGCTCATAACATCTAAAATGACAGTAAAATTACCCAGCTTTCCTTCAAAAGATATTGTTTTGAACATATGATATATATTTGAAAAATAATATCTATTTGCACTGTGTCATTTCCAGAAAAATCTAATTCTGATGATGTAAACGGAACAGAAACTCAAAATTTAACCAATCACAGATTAGCTGTACTCAAAATGTAACCAATCACAAATTAGCTGTGCACCTATCTTGTATAAATAGCTAATAACTGCGTAGGCTCTTTCACTAAATACTTAGGTGTCTATATTGACAAAACCCTAAATTTCACAGATCATATTCAATATGTTACAAATAAGGCTAACGCTGCTTTCATTGCTCTCTACTCATTAATTGGAAGAACTCTTAAGCCTCCGTACCAAAAAAAAATATCTACATCTCACTTATTCGCCCAATAATCCTCTATGCAGTTCCAGCCTGGGCTACTGCCCGAAAAATAGGCAGACAAAAATTAAATGTACTTCAAAACAAAATCTTACGTAGCATAGTGAACGCACCCTGGTTCGTGCGAAATTCTCAAATTCACAAAGACCTGGATATCAACCCAATTCACGACCAAATCCTAATTTCTGCACACAACTTCTTTGAAGATATGAGAAATTCTCCCTATGAAGCTATTAAATCGCTTACAGACTATGACCCTACTATTGAGAACGTAGTGAAAAGACCTCGAACGATCCACCACAATTCTAAGTGGTGGTAGTGTATATAATGTAAAAAAAATTTACTATTCCTTTGCAGTTACTATTCAAGAAAGATGAACTTTGCAAAATTAGGACTTTATTTTTCATCGATGAATTCTTGGTTTTACTATTTATTTAACCAAGATTTTTACTTTTACTTTTTATTTTTACTATTTCGTATCGTGTGTTTTAAAATCAAAGTTCGTGGTAACACCAAGTGCTTACTCTCACTCATTAGCCCTAGTGAGCTACATGACCTCATTTTCGCCTTTTACAGTTTCCTATTCATTTAATGATTATATCGCAAGGTTAGAAGATTTTCAAGTGTTTCAAAAGACATAGGACTCTTAAGTTCACAACTAGATGTTGCTTTTACTATGTTCGAACTTTATTTATTGCAAAAAACTACAAGAACTTCATTTTTCGAACTCTGACTCCTCGACCAATCTAAATGCCGGAAGCTGATCACGTGTTTCTGCTCTTCTTGACTCACGCAGAAGCTTAGACTTTCATTTCGCTTCTCGCCACCATTTACGTATATAATCACCCATGCTATGCCATGATATGCAATTTAGCAAAACTTATTTTATGAGTTCTCTCATTTATTGATCTCGCCTTCGGGCGCGGTGTATTTTTAAATACACCTCATAAATTTTAACTTTATGGCCTATGGTAAAATGATAATATACTGGTAAGAGCTCCTAGTAGCTAAAGCCAGCAGTAAAGATATGATCCAAGATCCAAGGCTCTTTCACTTTCGCTTCTTCGCATTCGTGCAGACAGCTTGTCGCTTGGTCTCTGCTATCTATTCGCCATTATTTAAAATGTAATTGCATATAAAAAATTATGGGGCGTGTTTAGCACTTTTAGTCGTCTACAGTTACGTATTAAGAAATTCGTCATTCAAGAATAAATAATGTTTAACTATCAAGCTGGTCGTGCTTCTAAAATTTCATCGGATCATCCATTACGCCATAATGTCCAGTCCTCTACGCAGCAGTTTTTCCGGCCATGACTAAATGTGAGAAATGTTTTCATCTTCCGCCAAAAGTACAATTATTAAAGAAGACAAATATTAGCAGATTACATGCAGGTAGCCCTCCTACAACATGGCATCGTGTAACACGGTTGCACTATAACACGATTCATAAATTGCGAGAACCCTCCTACAGCACGTTTTTCCTATAACACGGTTTCTCTCTAACACAATAAGAAAATTGCCCAAGCAATCTGAGTAAATTTAATGGACTCCACACGAAGATTTTCCATACTGAGCAAAGAACCCATATAGTCATTTAACACATAAGAATCCTCGTTTCGTAAGTTCTGCCAGTTGTCTTCCAAGATCCGGTACCCGTAAGAACAAATGTCCTCAAGCAGACGAGCCACGTAGTGGAGAGCAACCGTTGAATTCTTAACCGGTAACATAGGAAAATTGTTTCCTTCAAAGCACAGCTGCACAACATAAACAATGCCCAGTCCCAAAAGAGCACAATCACCAGATAACAATGAAGAAACATCACTATCGTAGAAGGTGAACAACATGAGGTCACAATAAAGA